GGCCATTTTGGTGGGCTATAGGCCGTGCATTTTGATCAAAAATCGACCATTTTTGGCCATTTTGGTGGGCTATAGGCCATGCATTTTGATCAAAAATCGACCATTTTTGGCCATTTTGGTGGGCTATAGGCCATGCATTTTGATCAAAAATCGACCATTTTTGGCCATTTTGGTGGGCTATAGCCCATGCATTTTGATCAAAAATCGACCATTATTGGCCATTTTGCTGGGCTATTGGCCATGCATTTTGGTCAAAAATCGACCATTTTTGGCCATTTTGGTGGGCTATAGGCCATGCATTTTGATCAAAAATCGACCATTTTTGGCCATTTTGGTGGGCTATAGGCCATGCATTTTGATCAAAAATCGACCATTTTTGGCCATTTTGGTGGGCTATAGGCCATGCATTTTGATCAAAAATCGACCATTTTTGGCCATTTTGGTGGGCTATAGGCCATGCATTTTGATCAAAAATCGACCATTTTTGGCCATTTTGGTGGGCTATAGGCCATGCATTTTGATCAAAAATCGACCATTTTTGGCCATTTTGGTGGGCTATAGGCCATGCATTTTGATCAAAAATCGACCATTTTTGGCCATTTTGGTGGGCTATAGGCCATGCATTTTGATCAAAAATCGACCATTTTTGGCCATTTTGGTGGGCTATAGTCCATGCATTTTGATCAAAAATCGACCATTTTTGGCAATTTTGGTTGGCTATAGCCCATGCATTGTGGTTTATGAAAAATGATGGTTCTGGTGTGTTTTTGAGCACTTTTCATGGTCTTCATAGTCCATCAAAAATCACGATTTTAGGGTTTCTTTCGTACTTGCCTTTGGCTATAGTCCTTAAAAAATGACGATTTCGGTGTGTTTTTGAGCACTTTGCTATTCATGTAGTCCATCAAAAATCACGAATTTGAGGTGGTATTTTTGTAGTACTCGTGTTGTTGTTTTTTTTTTGTAGTACTTTGCAAGGGCTATAGTCCATGCAAAATGACGATTTTCGGGTGTTTGTGAGCACTTTTCATGGTTTATAGTCAATTTGAAATGACAAATAGGTATATGTTTTCAAGATCTATTATACGCTTTATAAGAATTAGGCCAAGATAATTACAAAGAAGGGATTGAGAAGCTTATGTTGCGTTGTAGTATATATTATTGTCACTAGAACATCTTTAAAGACGTTCAAACTAAGTCTCTTTTAAAAAGTATTAAACTTTATAAAAACTAGTTATACTAGCTGACAGTTTTAAAGTTATGTTAAAAACTTCCCTAGAAATGTCAAAATGCTAGAAAATTAAAAGCAATTAAAAATCYGTTAAAAATCTCAGTATATAGTATGCAGCAATGTGATTTTGCATTGGAGTTGTAGTCCTCGTACTTTTAATAGCTCCTAAAAATCTCCCTAAAACGCCAGAACTACTTGGATTGATACCAAAGTAAAGGGAGTTTAGAAGGKCTTGTTCAGAGACTTCAGAGGAAAAGAAAAGGGCATTGCTGCACATTGCCTATTATTCGATGGAATTACAATGTCTAGAGTTATGCCAACATTGGGCTTAAAATTGGTATAATAGTAAAGTTAATTGTTCAGCTATGTGTTGTACTTTCGATATGAAGAGTCTCGTAGCTGTAAATACCATAGAAGTCAAGTGCTTGTACAAGGCTTTCCTCCCATCTAATGTCTTTGTACGCTGAACAGCTACCAGCTTTACCATTCTGGCCATCATCACTTAAGACAACTGAATCAGGAAGATAGTTAAATCCCTTTAGCGCATCTGTATTGTGCAAAACAATCTTGTAATGTTTGAAACGCCTGCTTGTGTCTCGCCTGTAATGGTTTCCCTTAAAGAATGATATGTAGTTGAACGAACATCCAGGTCCTCCCGTGTGCCTGATAGAAACACCAGCAATCCGCTTGTAGTTATCTTTGAATATGTACTGTTTGAATTTCTCAGTGCACTTCCTTTGGGCTTCAAGCCATTCTTTCTCTTTCAGTGGATCTCCGCAACAGTCTTTCTGCATGTCACAATCTTTCTCGAATTCTTTGTTTATACATGCAATGTTGTTCCTTAATTTCCTGTGTGTTTCACCGTCGACCATCAGCCGAGCTGCTACTGTTTTACCTAATATATAAAAACATTTATATACCTCGGTAAAAATAATGGACAGAGACAAGTGGGCCAGGCAAATGTATTTTCAACTGGATACGCGCCTTATTGAAAAAAAAAACTTGGATAAAAAAAACAATATAGGCACAGCCTACCCTAATGGGAAGCAATGGAGGACAAATAATCAGCGCATGTAAAATTGGCGTCGGAACCGTTAGAAGCCTGATTCTGACATATGTTGCATCGCTGGAAAAAAATCGCGCACTTTAAATTTGATGTAAATATGATGCAAGTGTCCAAAATGATGTATACTTGATGTAAACTKGATAGTGTAAATCATTTAGATCAAATTTACATCATTTTGGACACTTACATCATATTTAAATCAAATTTACAACACCTTTACAGTACGCGATTTTGGTACGAAACGAATAAAGATAATGTGGTTACGTTCGACAGTAACCCAGAGTATATGAAGCAAGCTAGTAATAAACGGAGACACTTGTGCGCAGAAAAGAAACTAAATGGTTGTCTTCCCATTCTCATTTGGCCTTAGTTCAACTTTCATGGAAGCAAGCAAGGGTGGTCGATGAGGGGTAGAAGGGGTAAAAGGGTAACAAGGACAAAATTATTTACCTTCTTCGGCCCACTCTGGAAAGGTACTCTCTAGATCAACTCTGTACTCCCTAAATCTTTTCCTTTCATCTAGATCGTTTACTGTCTTATCAAGGCAGTCTTGAAGAACCCGCTGTCCATGAAGTAAACATCTTGCAAACGAACTCTTTACCCATTCAAAGGAGTTTCTTTCAAACTCTGTTAGAGTTTGCACATCATCTTCGATGACCCAGTAAAATGGTAGACCAAGGCACTCAGCAAGTATCTTGACAATGGATCGTGCAAAGCCCTGACAGCGGTCATCCTGTGGAAGCAAAACGTATCGAAAAGTGATTTTGCTGTTTGGAGGCAAAGGCTTCGATGCAACCAAGGATTTCGAATTTTCCAAATGACCTGGTTCGACAACATAGAATATGCTGGTTTGGTGGCCTTCAAGTCCAGTGCTCGGCATTTGCATCGTGCTATCATTATTAGCTGTGCTTTCATTAATCTGATCTTTTGACGCGCATGGCTCTTGTTCCAAGTAAACGTTTCCAGGCTCGCCCTTACGTGTAGGTAAGATAAAGATGGGGGCCAGGTCTGTGYTTGCGTCACCCAGAGAGCTCAGTTTGATCAGCTCCTTTCTGAGACCATTACTCACACGAGCAACAATTCCATCACGAGTTTCATTTATTCCAGTCTGGATCGTATCTCTGGGTATGGAAGAATCATCTACCATCTTACACACCGCTGTGGATTTCTGATAGGCAAACAGCTGCTGTTTTGCTGCGTCAAGCTGCTCCCTACGTACACTGTCGAGTGGAACTTGAAGAGAATCATTAGGAATGTGATGATCACCAAAACCGATATGATGAAAACTGCGATCATATAATACACTCACAAGTATTTTAACCCATTCAGATTCATTCAGTTCTTGATATGGAACATCCAGCGAGCCAACAGGAAGATTTAGCTTTCTCCGCAGTTCACACAGTGAACTTTCGTCTTCCTTTTCAATCATGTTGAAAAGATTCCGGAAAATCTTGCTGGGGTTGAAAGTAGGTGTCCTGTCAAGTGCTTTTATGCTTTTCAATTGAGGAAAGTCCATGTTAGCAGTGAGACAACGATCTTTAAGGTTTGGATGCGGGTTGACTTCTCTCACTTTGTCTAGGGTAAAATCAGCTATCTCTTCCAGCTTGTCACGAATCTTTGAAAGGACCCGTCCATGCACTCTCTGATCACAGAGTAGTACTCCTGCCTTGAAGAAATCTTCCACAGTGTCATGCAAGTTTTCAAGAAGAGGTTGTAGGGACTCCCTACGATGACCATGTTCAAACGACTTTGAAAGTTCTCCAGTGAGGTAGTGACAGTGATCCGTCAGCACAACGTTTTTCTCCTCTTCATCAGTACTTTCCCATTGTGCCCGCATCCCTCTCTTGGGTGGTTTTCCCGCTAGGCGGCTAATATTACTAAGAACAAACTTCTTTGCATCATCAACCAGGAATTTCGCCACGAGTCCGCTGCATGCTATTTCTGCCAAGAACAGGAAACTTTGGCTGGACTCATTGAAACAAAGCTTGTTCTTTTCTAGATTTGCTGCGATCAGCTTCTTCCAATGCCTGTGTAAGGCATTCTCGAGGACTCTGAGCAAGTGTTGGGCCATGACATCTTCTCTGAAAGCCCCAATGAGTTTTGAATGAACTTCTTCCATAGTTGTCACTTTTAACAAGTCGTTTAGTTTGGGGAGACAATGAGTCAGACCACCGTCAAGAGGAATAGATACCTCAAATGACAAGTTCTCAGAGGGTCTGAAAGTTGCTTGAGGAATTCGTGAATCCTGGATGTCTGCAATTTCCATCTGCTTTAAAATCAAATGCTCAGTCACAGCTTGCAGCCTCTTTGTCAATGTGAATACTCGTTGGACAACTGAGTGTGCATTTTTCTTAATGCTCACATTGTCGACATGTTGACAAATGATATCGCCCACAGAATCAGCGAAATCTTTATCTGTTGCCTTGAAAATGACTGCCCTGCTTTCTTTCTTGAATACTTCTAGAAGATTATCTGTTGATGTCCGAGGAAGTCGTTCATAGACAGCTTTATAACAATCTTCTTTGGCATCCTTACATTTTATCAGGTTATCCCAAGACCTTTCCAGCTCCTTATTTCTGTTTAACTTCAATGTCTCCACATCCAAAGGAGTTGAATCAAGGCTGCTGTTTACATCATTCTTTTCATTAGAAAGAAACACGAACATTGGTCGGTTTGAAAAGTCAAACACTCTTCTTCTTTGAAACACTGAACAAATGTCATCCTGGGTAAAGGGACGCCCAGAACTGCTAGACTTGAAAATCATAATAATATCAGCAAGATCGATTTCATTTCCAATCAAATAGTCTCCATTGCTATCCCCACGTCCTGGCAAATCCACAAACTCAACCTGTACATCAATATCTTGATAAGAACACCTTTGTTTCAGGAGATGTTTTAAATGGTCAAAAACAGGTAGTGGGGTGAGGATATCAAGGAATTTGGCATTTTTATAGAATTTCTTATTGTTAAGAATAGCAGCTACTGTTTCTGCTGTAAATGGATGAGCCATATCGATATCACCTAAACAGGATAAACATCTTTCAATTATATCATGGCCGCCTTCTTTGTCTTTATACCTCAAAGTCATGTCAACATCCTGGGAATACTTGACCTTGACTGGAATTGGTGTTTTGGAATCTCCCTTACCTGATGGTAAAAGGTTAAAATCATCTGGCATTCCATGCCGGAATAGTTGGTTTAAAACAAAGCTTTTGCCTTGACCTAGTGGTCCAAACACGACAACTTTAATCTTGATATTCTTGACAGCATCAAGGTTATCCTTGAGATGGCACAAGCTTTTTGATATAAGATCTCTAATTTTTTTGGAAACATCCTCTGTTCTTTGTTTATGAAGAAGGTATAAGATATATTCCAATGCTGTTATGATAACACGAATGCTTTCTGCCAGGTTGTTTGGATGTTCATGGAGGTCAAAGTTCAGTATATTGTCCAGCACTTTATCATCACCTATATAAAAATGCAAATGATCTTAATTCAAATTTCAGCATTGATGTGTACCTTGTTATTTTATAAGAGGTTGATACAATGTACTTTAAAAGTCACTACAAACAATATTGTGGCTGAAAATTGTTATAAATTTTATGCAAGAAACTCACTCACATATACAGGACAGGAATCCCATGTATAACACAGGTATCCCAATGTTATTATGGTAATCAAAGCAATAACTGCAGGATATTGTTAAAGTTCAACTTGGCACAACTTTATACTTTGTCTACAACCATAAGTATGTAAGTAACACTATTTACATCTAACCAGAAAATTTTGGACACACTAACAGAGGTTGCAGAAGTATTGTAAGGAAAATAATCACAGCCTGGAAAGCATTAAGGGGTTACAATTGTTGCCTGCAACTTGTAGAGTACAAACATTAAATGTGTGCAACATTTTCCACTATTTACTACAAAATAGCGTTAATTATGTTGCACAGTTTTAGTGTTTGTACTCTACTACTCCTACTAAAACTTGTGGGTTATATATGTACAACTGTTGTGGGCAAGATGTACATAATGGGCATTTACAATGTGTGACTTGGAGCTCGTTTGAGTTGTATAGTCTACAAGTTGCAGATGGCAATCGTATGGTGTAATCAGCCTTAAAGGGGAGTGGGTCCAATCAACAACATCCAGTATTTCCATTTTGTACATAAAGCATGATGGCAGATTCAGTCTACAAAATAATATTTTTTTGCTAAAATCCTTTTCTGTGGAAAAATAAATGTAAATGTAAGTTTCCATTCAGAAAGTAAATAGTATTTCTTTGTGTCTGTTTTGACAGACATCAAAGTGTATGAGGACTTACATCTACCATGAACATTGTCTGTTAAACTACTTCTATTAAGTCAGAATAGAGCTGGAAATGGTGTAAACTCTATCAAAGAAGAAAAAATTAAAGCCTGACCAAACTCCTCCATATACTTCAAGATGAAAATCAAGAATTTATGTACTGTAATACTGGATCAGATATCGAATCAAGGTTTAATCTTGTCACCACAAATGTATGAATTAATAAATATAAATCAAATTAATAATTCTAGAAAATAATTCAAATGTGATCAGTATTAAAACCATAGTTTTATTATTGCCAAAATTAATGAAAAAAAGTCTTAGAAATCAGAACTTGGACCACATATTCATCACTCAACGGAATCTTTCTTGAACATATAAGCTTAAATGAATTTTTGCACAACATATCAGCAAAATTAACTTCCACCGAATTCAGAAGAATTTCAAGTGCTCACAATGCAAAATTTTACACGGAAACGCTGTTTCACTCATTTACAAATAAGAACTGAGAAGCAGTCGTTTAGAAATAGCACATTACCTTTTTGAACTGTGTTTCCCTTGTTGTTGTCATTCATAACAGCGATGCATTGACTGACGATCGACTCGGAGAAAATACTGTACCTTCAAATGCTTAACTTCATTCCCCAACAATCGTAGAAAACAACCACCACGAGAATTGATTTTATAGAGGTGGTTTTAAAGTGGTCTTGGATCAAGGCAAAAACAAGAGTAAAAGAACTATATTTTCTGTCAACAAGGAAGCCGGAATGGCGGCATTCAACTCCAAGTCACGTGAGCATTTTGGCGGGAGAACTCACCGGAAGTCGACTATTATACTTGAGAAAATGAAAAACCACCAAGAGCTTTCCAGTGTATAATTAAGGTAACATCTTCTGTCCAAATAGCCGCTATCTAACTGAACTTTATTTTGATGAAATATTTTCTGTTCAATTTCACAAATAATTTCTACAAATCTACAAATTAACATAGAAACATTTTTGTCCCCTCCCCCCTCAGTCATTTTGCCGCGCTTTCACTTTTCGGCGTCATCAGTTGGAGTAGATCATGTTGAGTTGTGGTCGTATCTCAGGTAAGTTTGCCATCTTTTTTCGCCTTTATCTGTGTAGTTGGGACGGCTAAGATCTGATACAACGCCTTTTCATGCGGCACTTTACTAAAAGTCCGTATTTTGGTGATAAATGTGCAACTATTAATGTAAGTCAATCGTTCCAAGTAGGATTCCAAGAATCTCAAAACCCTCGACATTGCTCGTTCGTTTCGACTGAAAGCAAGATTTATGCCTCGTCAGTGACAATAATTTTGACATCAGTTCAAGTAATTGACGTTGTAGGTAACTTGATTCAATTAATTCAAGCCTGATTGCTTTATGTTCCCAGAGCTTTTACAGTAGGCGACTGGGGGCTAAAAGTAAGCGTCGCGTCTGTGTCCAATTTTGAAATTTAGACTCTCGGAAATGCATTTTAAAGTAATTTCAGCTTAAATTTTCATTAAATGTTAAATGCAAAATTTACGATTTTCTACCCTTTCTATCTCAATAATGTTTATCATAGTATTGTTATGAGAGAAAATATTTGATACATTGATACTACAAGGAAAATTACTTAATTTTCGGACCACTTTTATCTACTTATGTACTGTCACTGTCACTTTCATCATCATAGTTCTTATGCTTTATTTTTTACAAGTTGGATAGTAACAGTATATATATTTGACACATTCAAAATTAGTACTCTGAAAATTAAAAAAAATGACAGGATTTGTCACAACTTTATTTATTCAAAATAATCGAATTGATTTCTTGTTTCTTTGAGTTTTGATCTTGAGAAGAATCAGTACTTTCTAATACATTGGCTTCTTCTTGCGGAATTTCATCTAAAGCAAATTAAATTACTAAGTTGTAATTAATGAAAACAAGCAAATAAAGACACGACGCATTATCGCTTTTATGGTCTCAAAGTAAGCCCAATAAAAAACAATTAGAAACTTCTTGTATATCAAAAAGGCCACTAACATGATAAATAGAGGATATTACATGGCCGCGCGGGGATACGGATTTTATCTTTGAGTGTTGAGGATCTATATAGAGAAACCTCGAATGTGTTATTTTCACTAGTGAAAAAATCGATTTTGCATAATGGAGAAATATAGGTATTTCATAGATAATTATATGATAAGCTTAATTATCCCTAACTTTACTTATCGGTTTTGTCCACCTTTGCCYGCTTGAACTGGTCAAAAATATGAGTTTCTGCCCGCCATCATATTGGAATTTATTTTGAAAACGAGGCTGGTAAAGAGTAAACCGCTGACACATAGAACATGCAAAAGTCATCAAAAGAATTGAAACGAGGAACAAACTTCGTGTGAACAAATTAACGTTTATTCCGTTTATATATATAAAACACATCGAAACAAAGGTAATTAATATAAACAAAAATTTACAACCAAATTAATTACTCGGGGTTCCACAGGAACCGCGAGTTTAGGTTTCGGCCTTCTTTGTCATGGTAGTCGTATTTGGTACACAAATTGTCTCGGCCAAACTAGAATGCACTGGGTACATGTACGAATCACGTGACATTCACAACTTCCATGTGCTATCTTTACATGATGTCGTCGAGGTGTCGTCTTTATACGAGGTGGAAGACATATATTCAACTTCAAACACTCTCAAATCTCTTTACAAATCCACACACCACTTTCGCGGTATAGCCACACTAAAAGATGTCGAGCGTTTTTTGAAAGGGCATTTTGAGAGATACCGCGAATTTATCTTGAAATTCATCGTGAAACGTATTGTGAAATTCGAACCAATCTTATCAAAAGTGAACTCTATACTAACTGATTCTACAGGCTCTGAAAATACAAAGGACTTCTCTAAGGAATGCGAACAGAATTCACTGAGGAAAAACCGACGATTGCAACTATTTTATTTAGCAGAGAGAATAAAAGACTATCAAAGTCATAGAGAGCTTGACAAAGACTATCAATTCTTCCTTAATGCTAACTACATTGCTTCTGTTATTATTTTTCATTCAGGGAAATATTTTTTGCTTTACCCTTATGATAGTATTGATATTAACCTTATTAGGGTTCAATACAGTCCAATTCTTCGATAACTACACTCAAAATATTGTCACTTCATCGTTTAGTGATTGTGATATCTTAGATAAAACTATTTGTATGACTGTTTATGGTGTATACAATGATGCAGAAGTTACAATAAACATTACAAGTACTACAAGATCTCGTTATTCAAGGTTTGTTTATTATAATTATCGACATGTACGTTGTAGTCGTAGTCGAGAGCCCAGTAGGATACCAAAACGATTTCTAAGACGCTTACATAACAAAAGTAGAAAGCTAAGATGGGTTGTTTATCATCGAATCTGAAAAATCCTTGAATTTCCTCCAAATTCGAAGGAAAGGTCCTTAGCAAAACCATGTATTAGTGTAACTGTAATTTTGAATTTTATACAATGCTCTGTTTTTCTATTCATAAGTGAATTATATTATACTCAGCACTTTATCTTTCCATTACTTCCATTACATGTACTTCCTATATTGCATAATATATTTCCCAGTGCTGCGCAGTCTACAAGCATCATATATAGTATTAGTATGTACTCCAAAAATGCATTACCAATATTAATGTTTGCATCATTGTATTTGCAAGCCATAACAGGTTTTTGTGTGTTAATTAAATTTTTCTTATTTATCAAGCAGCATAAAGTCTCATATCCCTGTATTTCAAAATGGCCAAGAGACCAAGCAGTTCAAAGGACAATGATATAACTCAATCAAAAAGGCCTAGTGATGACGAAGATGACAATCCAGGAGTTATTGGTAAGATTGATGCCTTTCCTAAGATTTGTATTCTGCATAGATTTGGGGAAAAAATCAATAACAACAACATAGTTTCCTTGAATATACAGGCATGTCGGAATTATGCGCGGATGCGGACGCGCATAATTGACCCCTTTCCACATAATTTACCAAATCGCGCATAATCCCGCATAATTCATGATTTTTTTACGTTATACCATTTTTTAAGATAAATTGCCTTCTACTAATGTTTTTTTGTGGTCCCTTGACTGTTTTTTTGATAAAAAAACGCTCCCAAACATGCTTATAATTTTCCGATTCGTGGGCTTCACAAATGTACCAGGCGTTCAGAATTTCATCAGAAAAGAGTCTGGGCACTAGCATTAGCGGTCACCCTGTGGCTTACAAGAACACGTGACAAATTCCAATATGGCGTATGATACAAGTGAGACGTAAAGCGTGCGAGAACGAAAAAGTCTAAAAAAAAGATTTTTCCTTCAGTTGGTACTGCCTTCTATACTTCGTAAATAAGATAAAAACAGAGTTTTGCATGAAAAACAAACACAATAACCTAAAAATATGTAAAACTTCCCAAAGTTTACGTTCCTGTGATGACATCATCCCGCATAATTTTCCACATTATTTTATCCTTTTCTCCGCATAATACTGGGAAAAAATTCCGCATATTTTTGATTTTTTTCGCGCATAATTCCGACATGCCTGAATATAGTGTGTGTTAAGTAATGTCCTGTCAAGGGTAATGTGACCTGGCCAAAGGTCCTCATTTATTTTGACGAGGAGTAACATGCCCTCACCATATATCTGATGCAGATACAATCAATCCGCTTGGAGAGTCAAACACTCTCAAATAAATGAGGACCTTTGGCCCCGGTCACAGTTAATTAAACACCAAGTTTCAGTGCATTATGATACATGGCATGTTGTGATTTCTGTGCAAAGCCAGAAATATAAGAAAGGATGACTAAAGTATCTGTTAAATGAAATGTTGTATCTACTATACTAACAATAGTAAAATTATAATTATTAATACTGGAAAGAATCAATTCTACAAATGGTTGGAAGGATCATATAAATTACATTTTACAGTTTACCTGCTTAGGATGCATATTTTATGCATCCTAATGACTATCTTCTCTATGTTATACACCTAGTTGAAAAACGTAGTCGGGTTCCAAAAGGTTGCATCATCAAAGCTAAAACTGAAAGGGAGCATGGCAAATTTTATCATTGCTTTAGAGGCAGATCACTGGTACTTAATAAAATTACTTTGTCTACTAGTACTATAATGATATCACCTTTTTGTGACCCAACAATATATCTTCAATTTCTTATATTTACAAAGTAAGGATTTTGTACTAGATCCTACTGGTAGACAGAATTCATGCAAATTCATTTACCTTTCTTTTTTTATGAAATTTATACAAGGTAAAGAGGTTACTAGCACTCATTAGGAAATAGACTTCCTTCATAAGTAAATGATGGTGCTTACTAGCTTCTAGGTGCCAGTGGATGAACAAACTATTGTTTCAAAAGGCAATTTTTTGTGAATATTAGTATTATCATAACATAAAATTTGTTTCTTTTTCAAGAAATTAATAGTGACCCTGGAAAACTAATCCAGAACATACAAAACATACTGGAATATCAAAAGAAGGCTATCCCTCATTTGTATCCAAGCAAGAGAAAGAATAAAAGATCAGAAACAATAGCAAGTCTCATACAAAATAGTTTAACAGCTCTTGATGACAGATTGGAAGATGCAAAGAAAGTCAAAGTTACCATTGCAACATTTGGAGCACTTGGTAAGGGGAAAAGCTTCATCCTCAATCATATCTTAAAGTATGGTCTGAAAAATCATGACCTTAGCCTTTTGCCATCTGGCTTTGGTGAGTCGAAAACGCGTGTTCCAGTGAAGATTAAATATGGGCCAAATGTAGAGGTCATAGTTAAGACAAGTGAAAGAACAGAGGTCCTTTTAAATAAAGATTATAACGAGACCTCAATCGAAAAAGCAGCCACATGCATCAAAGATGTCTTTGAAGATATTGATTCATATAAAGACCTTGAGTGTGTGGATCTTGTTGCATGCCTCCCTGTGTTTCAGCACTTGAAAGAGGTTGTGAAAAGGAAGTGTACTTACCATGATGTTGAGGTAGAGATTGAATTTGTGGATCTGCCAGGACTTGGCGACAGCTATGGAAATGCCTTAATCAGAAAAGAACTCAATCTTGCTGATATCATGTTGGTTTTTAAAAATTCAGCATCCGGTCGTCAAGTAACAATTGACGACTTAAAAGAGGTTTTTCTTAAGCGTGATGTTTTTGATTATGCAAATCGTCCAAAGTTTGTGATAATCGAAAACCAAAGCAATCCTGATTGCCCGATTGATGAGAAATCGATTAAAGAGAAACAAAATGAAGAAGAAGCCAGACTTGCTGAAGAATGGAGAAAACTGCAGGAACTGCAGGACAATGATAATGATGAGGACGATAAGAAGAAAGAGGAAAGAAAGAAAATGCGTGAGTGCTACAAAATGGTGTATGAGCGACTTCCATTGACAACTGCAAAAGAGTTTCTAGAAAAGTTCCAAGAAGAAAGTAAAGCTCTCGTCTTTTCTCTCGAACTGAGAAGTCTATTTCTTTCTGATCTTGAGGAAGCAATCATTGAGCATGTGAATAAAGGAATTTTGAGGAAAAACATCCATCCTGTAGTGCAAGGTATCAATAAAGATGCTAACATACGAAAAAAAAGGATCAGTGCCGTAATCTCAAAGGTAAAGAAAACACATCAAGGAAAGTTTAAACCTCTAGAAAGCCAACCTTTCAAGTTATCCCTAGACAGCAGAGAAGATGAGGATTTCTTCAACAAAATTGAGAGCGATATTTTTGCACTGGGCTTGCATGCAGATACCGATATACTTAAGRTTCATAAAGGTTTGGTGAACATGTTCAAGAAACTAACAGTGGATCATCTTCTACACAAACTGAGGTTGTCTCTTAAGGAACACTATGAAACACTAGTTGGCATGACTGAAAGAGTTAATGGTTTGTTTATCTCTGAACAGGGTTTAAGCCATTTTGCTCGCATGTCATGTGAAACTGAGGTCAACAAGTTCATGGAAGAGCATGCGAGAAGCCTCATTGATAACTGTTTAAAGAAGCTGTTTGACAAGACACCAAGTCGAGAAGTGCAAAAGCAGTGGACTGAGTCGCATGATGACAAGGAACAGAAAAAGAAGTTGTTAGAAGACCACTTCAATCTGCTAATACCACATCTTGCAGAGCTCTTATCAAGAGGATCACGTGACGATAAATTGGTCACATTGCGGGATACCCTTCTTCACTGTATTAATGAGATAGTAAGGTTGGGTTTTAAGAATGAGGGCGTTGATGATCCGAATAACGATGTAACACTAAATAACATCAAGAAAAGTAATTTGGAGGTAACCAAATTCTCACTTAAGATGATACGAGAACTTAACCCTCACTTCGAACACAAAAAGGAATTTGTAGATTCTAAAGATGATTTTCCTGCTCAATTCCTGACATTCGAAGGGCATGAAGCTAATGTGCTGCCACCTATAAACCATACCAGCAGACTTAACAAGGTATTTGCTCTACTGTCAAAAAACAAGAAAGGTGCACTTGATGAATTGCGTAGAATGCTAGGGTTCAAAGTTGGGTCAATAACAGTCCCTGATGACTGTGATGAATTTCAGTGGACAAGAATTCTACTGAAGGTCTTGCAATCTGATCCCGATTTCCATCACATGACTCTTGATGATTCACTGCATGGGTCCTGTAAAGTTGAACTAGGTACAGTTCCAGACAACTATCTTAAGATAGCTAAACAACAGCTTTTTGCCTATCAAAGGTCTAAAACCACGTGCGACATCGAACTTGATCAGTCCATTCCAAATGATACCATAAGAATCAATGTCAACGAGGCTCAAAATGGACTCACTGCTTTTGTCTGTCCTGCCCTACATGTTGATTTGAAGAAGCTGAAATCTCATGAACCCATGAAACAACTTGCACCAGTCTTTATCCCATCTATCCATTATGGCCCCAATATTGAAGAACTTGGGAATCTATTCCTTGAGGAAGATCCATGGACAGCCAGAGAGGAAGATGGCGAAGATGATAACGATGATGACACAGCAGACCAGGAGCCAAACACAGTTGATCATCAACAAACGGGGCTTGAGGAGTTGCCTGTCACCATATTCTGTGTTGTTGAACCCGGTCATGAGGACAAATTCAGATCAACCTTGGCCAAAAAGCCCCCTAACAGTAACATATCATTTCGATATGTTGTCCTTCCACAAAATGGCCGTGGGATAGGTGTTTCAAGATCCATCATCAAGTTGTTAGCTGAGAGCTTGAAGTTACCACTGTATTGGACAGTTGATGATGACATTAAGTTGATCAGGGAGTACAACAACAATTCCGGCTACTGGAAGAGATCTACCATAGGAAGAGCCCTTCTCTATGGACAACATGTGTACGAAGATTGCAAAAACAGAGTAGTAAATGATATTCCTGAACGCCAGAGGTACAAATATGCCAAGGCTCTGCTCAAAGTCTTTCCAGATTGGGCCGAAGAAAGTGAAACAGTATTGGTAGCTGAGCGTTTGATGAATGACTCAAGGTCACACGATATTATAAAAAACAACATTTTCTGTCTCAATGACCAATTCCCAGACGAAATGATAGAAAAAGATTGTGACGGAGATCCTTGTAAAGAAAAACAGTTGCGTGAAGCATTAGAAAAATATATCGAGACGTTCAAAGAATATCTGCTACATGGGAATTACAAGCGCATTGGAATGGTGTCAATTGGACATGAAAGTGGGAGGAAGAATGGCTATTATTTACGAAGTGATAAGCATTACCGTAAAAGCATGCAGAACTACCAAATGGTACTCTACAACCAAGAAGCCTTGGAAGGCTTCAACTACGTCACAGATGAAGTGATACTTCAGCACAAAGAAGGTACTGTCCATCAGGAAGACCAGCGAGATGTTCGTTACCTTGGATTGAAGTGGGAGGACAAATCGTTCTGCAGGGCCTTGAAATTCTACGGGATCATTGGATACCAAGTCATCACTGTTGCTTTGGCAAATCAAAAACTTAGAAATGCATTTGGAAGAATTGGCAACTCATACCAGCCAGAACCACTACAAGGTGATGATGATGACATAACCCATGCTGATGAGGAGTGAATAAGACTTTAATCACACTATGAACATTTGACTTATTGCCTAAAGCAATTGACCAAGTGTATATGAGACATTTTTAACTAGTAATTTTTAGCATTTAATGCATAATTATATTTTATAGCTTGGCTCTTCAACACTTTAAAGTATTTTAGACTTTTTTGAATAGTTTTTAATGGGTACGTACATCTATGTTCATGTGAACGAAAGCTATTATATATAGCTGAAAAAAAAAACTTTATTGATTTTAATCTGATTTGTAAATCTTACATTTGAGGAAATTTCGTTGTAGAATATTGGTCTTTTCGATCGTACGATCTGGGAAGACCATTTAATAGGTAAATAGGTTCAAAAGGTATAAGTTTATGGGGAACAGTATATTACTAGTAGCTGGTATTCATCTATTGTAAAAGTCAGACAAAACATCAAAGGGTCGTGGTCAACCAACATCCTTTTCGGCTGAAAATAAAAGTAGAACATAATAATTTGGACGCACTAAATCCTTGAAACAAATATTACTAATTACTAGTAAATAGAGTTGATAAGACAAAAGTAATTAGCACATTAGTTTATCACCAATTGATAGTGTTTTTACAGATAAAGTGCATTTGCTCTAATACACCTTTTCAGTTGCTCTTAGGCCTCGATAGCAAGTTAATTATTCTTTTGAATTTGACAAATGAGACTATTCATATCAATGTTTGCATTTCTCACATTCCTACAAATTCAAAAGAATATTCAACACACTGTTGAGGCCTAAGAGCAGCTGAAAAGGTGTATTATAAGGGGGAAACCATACTTTTTATATACCATAATATTGATCTTACAGTAAAAGAGACTCACATTTGAGAAAGTTAATTTTTATTTGCATTTTTGTAAGAAATAAAGTAGCTGYATCTAGAATATAGTGGTTTTATTTCACAATGGCATAAAAACTCAATTAGCCTTGATATAAAACATTTAAAGATGATCTAAATACAACATACAGGGCCAACTCATCTTGAAGAGTGTGCAAGTGCCAAACCAATACATAGCAAACTTTAATTGCCACTCAATGCCAGTAAAACAGATGACTTTCAATGAAAAAGTACTTATTAGTACTTGTAAGCCCCTTATATTTGGGGCCAGTTATACAAAGGATGGAAAACTAACTCGATATAGACATTACATGGATCATGATCGTTTGTACAACTGGCTCCTGATGGCTCCACAGCATCATCTGATGGACAAATAATGGTCTACTGTTTCCTAAGTTTAACCCAAAGATGGATGTGCATTACTAGTGATTGCCAAGGGACCAGAAGACACAGCCTTCTGAATTTCCCATATGACAAAATAGTAAGCACAACAGAGGAAAGGTAAAGTAAGCTAAAGTAACTGCTACAGTTGACATTGATTATTGCACAAGCCCTTGCAAACAACACAACCATTCCTTTAGATTTTCAACCAATAACAAAATTATTTAGATGATCATTAAGACCCACATGCATCTGAGAATCTTTTGATTGTTTTGTTTTACAAATAATCTCTCGATGATTGGCTCAAATTCAAGATGGAATTTTGTATAAGTATATCGTGCAAACATTCTTGGATACATGTGAGCCTGTAAAAATTAAATGTTAACATTTTTCAGCAGAGCATAGCTGTGTTAATTACACTCAAGATCTTTCAATATATCCATGTAATTATCCAATTGTGCAATCCATTTGCTGAAGATATTCAAAATTGGCTTAGGATTAATCTTACCAGAACAACTTCATGGGTATAATGGAAAAATGTACTGYTTTAAATTGTTGAATGTACGCTATTTGAAGCCAAAGCTCTGGCAATTAATTTTTAATCATTAAAATTATTAACTGAACAAACATCATATTTAAAGGAAACATTATTTTCACCAAAACATTTAAAAACAAACTGGAATCCTGGAAACAGCTAATTATTTTCCAATGAATTCAAAATTGAATGATATGAATCAAGRATATAATAATAACAATAATCTGAAAAACCAGGATCCCCTGTAATGTAAAACTACAAAACTTAAAAATAATGGTAAGTCAACCAGTTATTGCACTAGTTTGAAAAAGAATAAATCGAAAAAACAAAAGCATGGATAACTCTTAAAACAACYAAACAAAAGTAAATTGCTGTATATTTGTCAAGCAGCGACAGAGAAAATTACGTTTTTGTATGAAAAATACTTGCATAGTGATAAAAATATTACAACCACATCCAATAATTTTTGAATYGAAATCAAAAGTTCAAATTATGCACAAGTAAGTATTAGGGGTGGTAAATCCTCCCTGCAATACAAAATTAAGCAAACATTCATTTTATAATYCATGGCAATATCCTAGTCCATTGATCAAAATTCATCTTTTGCTCAGAATACTCAAAACTATTTTGAAGAATTCTGTGCAAAACAGTTTAAGATTCAGAGCATCATCACCAACCCCTTTATTTTGTCGTCAAATAAGATTTAGAATTTGCGCATGGAACTTTTTTTTTTGGATGTGAAAAGGTAAGAAAGTAAGCAAATTTGAAAGTTATCATTTTCATCTTATTACCCAGAAGTATGAATTATTATAACTACAGCATATTAGTGTTACCATACTAGTGGACTATTGCAAATTCTACATTCTGATTGGCTACTAGGAGTCTATTTTCAATAGTCAACGCCTAGTAAAAAGTGCCAACTTTGATTTTCTTTTAAAAATTTTGCAGGTCAAATTGATTCTAACTAGTTATTAMAAGTATGTAGTGAATTGATTTTTACTTGTCAAATATGCCAAGTGTGTCAAACAATGTCAATATAATAAAAGCTGTAAGTGCTATTTTTTTTTTTATATATATATTTAAATATATTTCATTCATTTTTTTGTCCTATTAGTATGGTAATACCAAAACAATTAGACCTCTTGGTCTACAAACTGCAATCTTTGCCCTCATGGCCRATCAGCTCGTAATATACTCGCCTAGAGGTGTAATTATAAAAAAATGTAGCAGTTTCAGACTGTATTTATATATACATTGGGTAAATTATGATTGTAAACAAGTGTACCTGGGAACTTTTCAAGATAATGATAGTGTTAGGAGAATATGATTGCATTGCTACATTAATGGCCTATTATACTACAAAACAATTGAATGCCATTTAATTGGATGACCTTGCAAATGACACTCTTAAGTGATGTGTCTCGCTAATTTTGTAGTTGTGCATGCTCTGAAAAGGAAGAAAAAACAATATTAAGAAAATCATTGACAATGTTCTCTTTTATTTAGCCTTGTTAGYATAGGCCACCAATGATTCTTAATAAATCAGCCAGTCAAAATATCACTTTTGAAGTCAAAAAYTCTTCTTTGATATGTTTTTTCAAGATCTTATCCCTTTGTTTGACCTAGCTGTTTGTTAAATAATAGAAAACAATAGTATTTTAAGAACAAGGAAACAATGAGAATTGTTTTGTGAAAATGTGAACTATTTCAAATTGTTTTATTCCTCCAATCATGTGAATGATTTTTCATGAAAAATGAATCATGATGAATCATTTTTTTTTTATAACAACAATGTTGGATACTAAGTTTCATTTAAGACATTGAATACAAAATTGCTTTTCTAAATTGACTCCAAAAATTGCAAACAAGGAACACTCAATAATAATTACACTTACTATGAGAGCTGAAATTGCTTCTTCAGTTGATGACATTGATAAGTGAGCCATTTTTCTGTCTTTCCTAATGATACAAGACAAGGAAAAAATGAATTTAATCCACATTATTG